TTCCATGTGTGCCACAACATGCGCCTTCTGTATAGAGAAAAGGTGAAGACTTTGGCTGAGTTTGAGGTCGGTGGTCTCAATTGTGATAGACTAACTACATTTTAGTACTTATATATGATCGATCAACTAATCTGGAATTATGACAATGTAGGGCACAATAACCAAGTCTCTGCTTACCAGCTTTGAGGAGGTTCACGAGGAGATAGCCAGCTTCATCCTCCGTGAAATAATTAACCCCAAAGGAATGTTTAGGCTTAAACTAAAATGATGAACAATATTGAACTTTTATGTTTAGGCAATGATGAACACTTATTATGCAACTGTGATGATGTAACTGTGATGTTTATATTTATGTATATATTTCATATGTTTATGTTAAGACTTGCTAAATAAATATTTGATCCAATTAACTCGGTTTTGCAGGTGAAACATGATAAATATTTGAATGGATGTGAAATATGTGAATGGATGTGAAATATGAGATGGCTGTGAATGTGTGGTTGTGTGAAATATGTTGATGTCTGTGTATGTGAATGCATATGTATATGAATGGGTGATGCTGGGGAGCTGGGGATATTGGATATCTATGTTTGTTTCTGTCATTTTTGCAGCGGGCATGGCTAGCAAAGGCCTGAGGCTAGCCAAAAAACAAAATTTATTTTTTTTGTGTATTATAGTCATCTGTGACGGGCCATAACTAAATGACCGATTGAGATGAGATCATCTGTGACGGGCTCTAGCTTAGGCCCAAGTGAGATCAGTAGTCATCTGTGACGGGTTCTAGTTTAGGCCCGATTGAGGTCAGTAGTCATCTGTGACGGGCTCTAATTTAGGCCCGATTGAGGTCAGTAGTCATCTGTGACGGGCTATAGTTTAGTCCCGATTGAGATGAGTATCATCTGTGACGGGCTCTAGTTTAGGCCCGATAAAGGTTATTAGTCATCTGTGACGGGCGCTAGTTGTGGCCCGATAGAGATAGGTCATCTGTGACGGGCTATAGTTTGACTGGTCGTCTGGGTCAAAGCTATCTGTGACGGGCTTTACTTAGGACCCGATTGAGATATATTCATTCGTGACGGCCGTTTGCCCGATTGAGATAACTCTTCACATCAGTGACTTCTAGCCTGTGACGGACGCTATGCCCGATTGAGATGGGGCTTACCGCCCGATTGAGATGTGGGTATCCGTTCTAGTGATTGGAGTATATATATATATATATACTGTTTTTCCTAGAGAATGGTATGTGCTATAATTTTTTTTTCATGTACAAGTATATGCTACTTTTTTTTCATTGTAGAAGTATATATATACTGAATTCGGAATTAATAAGTATATACTGATTACTTATCTTAATTGGTACTTGCAATACATACTACTGGAACGACCAAATGAGTATATATATATAATGACTTTTTTCGGAGTGAGTATATAATAACTTTTCTCGGAGTGAGTATATACTGATTTCTTCTTAGAATGAGTATATAGACTGATTTTTTTTCTCAGAACTCAAAACAAGTTCATGGAATGAGTATATACTGATTTCTTTGAAATTAAATTAAAGTAGTATACACTGAAACAATATACATACTTTCTTTCGACAAAGGTAGTATATATACCACTAATTCGAGTTAGTAGTATATACCAAATTCACCGCATTACTAGTATATACCACTTTCTCTACGTAAGTATTACTAGTATATACCACTTTCTCTACGTAAGTAGTATATATACCACTTTACAAGTTATGTACTCTGATTCTTTCATCAGCTGGTAGTGTATATCCTTCAAAGAAAGCAGCAGTATGTACTACTTTGTGCATAGCAGTATACTGTTTTTTACCGTTTGTTTTAGGAGGCAGTATATATAAACTATAGACTACTACATATCGGAAGAAATTTTACAGAGAAGCAGTATATATATACGTGCAGGAAGTGGTATATACAGATATATATGCGGTTAGTATGTGGTTATGTACTGACCATAATGCCAGAAAAGAATATTAGACATGAAAAACTGAGACAGAAATAAATACATACAGAGCAAGTGCAGATCAGTCAACCAATTGTATGCTAATTTTTATTTATCAAATAATATATACTGTACGTAATCTTGTTGTTACGTAGCAGTCAGGATCGAACTCATGCATCAGTTCTTTATTTTCCCGGAAGGCCGTAAAAAATGCATCAGATCGCCGGCGATTTTTTGGACAGAGCACCAGATTGTTACAGAGGTTAGAGGGAAGAGATAACAAGACTGAAGATCAAACAGAACACACCACAATTGTGGACATCTGGTGGTAATAGCCACAGGCCACAGCATGGCAGCATCGTTGGACGCGTGTGGCCGTCGCTCGATCATGTCGCTGCCTGGATGAGCCATTCAGGCCTTCGGTTCATAGCTGGAAGGACGCCATTGCCGCTTGGATCCAGCTACGCCGCTTCTGCTTTAGAGGCTGGCACTAGCCGCGCACGGCGTCGCTGCCTCGGAACCTCAATTCTGA